ATTCTATTCTCCCCCCCCCGCTTGCCTTCCTCTCCCCTCCTCTTCTGTGCTGCCTCAGTTTCCCTTTTTCAGAGTTGTCAGCCTCGGCTGGAGGTGTCACCCAGGTGTTTGAAGTCCCCCCCCCTCCTCTGGGTGCTTTGGAAATTGGGGGAGGGGGTGTCTCTACAATCTCCCTTTAATGGCTGTTAAAAGATTTGGGCTGGAAGTTTATTGGGGGGGGTGCCCCTTTTGCACCTCTTGGGGAGGGCAAGACTGGTTGCATCTCCCGCTTGGCAAGACTTCCGTGGCCCCTGGGAAGCAGCGTCTTGTGTGACCCGGAAACTTCCACCAGCATCTTCGGTGCCGCTCTCCAGAAAGAGCCAGGAAATAACCCTTTCCCTTCCAAACCCGGACGGCTTCCTTTTATGCTCATTTGGCTGCCAGAGGTTTTCCACGGGATATGGAGGGATACCGTGTGGTCGGCCACCTGTGCCTCCCAGTATACGGCAGGATGTCCAAGATGGCAGCTAAGCCTTCCTAAATCTTGTGGCAGGGAGTCCCACAGCTCACCTCTGCGCTTGGTGAAAGAAGACTTCCTGTTGTTGGTCACCAAAGCGGCTCACCTTTCCGCCTCGGGGAACAATGGATTTGGGTTCTAATTCTAACTAGAAGGGGAGAGAGCGCTTCTGCCTTCTGCCTTTTCGGCGCTGGTTGTTATTCTCTGCACCTCTGTCGCGTCTCCGTTTACCTTCCCTCTGAGCGAACCCTGTTCTCCGTGCCAGGCGGTCGTGGAAAGCCACGTGTCATCGGATCTGGGAGAATGCCCCATGTTCCGTTCCAGGCACCCATTCACTTTTGTGAGGAGAGGATGTCATCATCTCTCCCTCCCCGGGCATGTGCTCCCCGGGGAGGATGATTGGGGGCTCACGACACCTTCTGCCTGCAGAGTTTTGAGAGAGAGCGAAAGAGTCACCTGTTTCGGAAACGGCACCGCGAGACTCTGTGGCATCGTGGCCTCCCCATGAGGAGCGCCTGCTTCCAGACGGGACAGGGTGGAGAAGAGGGGTCTCAGAGGGCTGCTTTTCTGCCCGAGGGACTCCGGGGTGGGTGGGCCACGCAGCGCGCGAGCGACAGAAATGTGAAGCGCAAAACACAAACCCTTCAACCCAGGTGTGCAACAGGAAGTGGCTGGGAGCCTTCTTCCCGGTTTGAGGTTGAAAAACCTATTTTGAGCCCATAAACCATGTGAAGGAGGCTGTGCCCTATTTAGGAGGGGAATGGTGATTCCCGCAAGCTTCCAGGAGCCGCAGGTAGCCGACCTTTTGTTCAGCAAAAGAGAGAAGAATAGGTTAGGGCTGCTGGAGGGGGGGGGTGTTGGGGGGGGGGGGGGGGGGAAGCAGGAATAATTGGGGGGGGGGGAGCAGGTCAGGCTTTGGTCACCCTGGCTTAAGAGCTGCAGGGAGAGGAGATGGTAGAGAGGGAAGGATCCTTCCCTTTGGTGAACCTTCGAGGTGTTTAGAGATTGATCCCAGAGGTCACATGAGTAATTCTGGTCCAGAACGTGCCTTTCCCCCCCCGCCATTGTTCAAGTTCTCTATATTTAGATGTGTAAATTATCTCTGTCGAAAGTCTTGTGTCTGAGAGGACAGGAGATGGGGGAGATATATATATATATATATCATACCCGGTTCTCACCTCCAAAGCCAGCCCTCCGTACAGTAGGCATCCAACCGTAATTTCTCAATTAACTTATTGATAGTGTTTGCTTATTGCTTTTCTGCCCACCAGCACTCCTGAAGCAATTTACTGTTGGCAGATCTAAGAGGATGGAAATTGGTTCTAAAAGCATTACTTAAAAAAAAAAGGAAGGAAGGAAGAAAACAGATCCGGAACTTCCTTGAGAACCACCACATTTTAAAACGTGCTTTAAACGCCGGCTCTCAAACTGGGTCCGGAGGCAAGAGCCAGCTCTGGGAGAGGCGATGGGGCAGGAGGTCCCAGGCACCCCCGACCCTCTTTGGGCTGCAGGTTCCCCGTCAGGCCATCCCGTGGGGTGGCCACTTCCTTTCAGCGGTGCCGTGTGCGGATCACAGCCGGGCCCTGCTGTTTTGGCTGCTCACCAAAGAGCCGGTTTTCCTGAGACCTCTCGGCGTCCACCGAGGCTGAGCCATAAAGGTGGATGTTGCTGGAGAGAACCGGTTGTACCAGCAGGTGACTTCAGGACAGGTGCAGTGGAGGTTTAAGATGCAGGATGGAAAACAAAGAGAGGAAGTCCTGAGACCAGCCGGGCCACTTTTCTCCTAGATGCCCCTGGGCTAACGTGCCCTGCCCTCCTCCCTAGGAGTCTGGGATGTCCCTGGTGTCAACCTGGGGAGGGGGTTTGTCCTCGGAATGATTTCTCCTGAGCCTGGCTGAGGGCCAGGTTCAGACACGCAGCTGCTGCAACTGCCACCTTTTTGGGCAGGGTAGTGGCGAAGGGCCGGTTCCCGAGCTATTCTTTGTAGGCTAGAAACAGCTGGATGTCGGCACATGGCCATTTTTGCCGTCAACCCCACTGACGTTGTAAAGGCTCCCATTACGAGACCCTTGGACTTATTCCAGGGTGTGACTCTCTCGTGCCTCCTTGGAACATGTGGCTTTCTGCTCCTCTCTCACTGCCCTGTTGCTCCATCAACCTGTGCCTGATGGGAAAAGCGTGTTGCACATTTTTTAAAAAGTCATCATTAAGAATCATTTGAAAAATTAGGATCGTCTGGCTGATGAGTGTGTTTGGTGCTCCTGAGTCTAGACAGACACTGAGGAGCAAAGACCTCCCGGGACGGGAGTCCAGGGCGAGAGGCTTCAGGTGGCCGGGAGGCGGCCTGGGGCCTGCCAGAGCTTAGCAAGAGGTCAAGATAGCTGGAATCCTCTTCTGAGGCCGGGAATAGTCAGGAATTAGAGAGCCCTGTTCTGTACATGGTTCCTTTCCTTTCTTGCAAAGCCAAAGCACCTGGCTGGAAAAAATTGTGCCTTGTATTGTTGTGGGACAAGGAAAGCTGGATTTAAACTGCAACCTCAGCATTGCAGGCGCTGTCCTTCTCTGTTGTTAGAGCGCCGTTTGCACTCGGCCTTTTCTCTTGTATGTTGAGACTGAACATTGCTGTCTGATCTCCATTCTGAAACCCTCTGGACGTGCCTTGTTGGGCCTTGATTTAGGAAACTTAAGAACAGCCAGGCTCAGCGAGTCCCTCCTCGGTGGGAGACCCCAGCCTGCCAAGGGCTGCCAGTAGGGGCTGGGAAAGAACCCTCCCCCCCTTACTTGAAACCCAGGAGGGCTCAGAGGTCTCACTCCTCCGTAGACGGTGGTTCTCTGGGCCAGTATGGCTTGCCCATGGGTGCCCTGCGGCGGCTTCGACCGTCTGGGTAAATGCACAGAACAAGAGGATTCAGCCACCATGAAGCCCCACCACCCCGCCTCACTGTTGCCCCACATCCTGTCCAGTTGGGCTGGAATGACCCAGAATCCTTGGCTTCCCGACATTTACCTGGAGAGTCAATACCTGGAAATTCTCCTGCG